ATTCTATGATTCTAAGGAAGCTAATGCTCCTGCTGCCACCCCTGAGCACGTGGCCTGACCCGGTACAGGACAATGACAGCAGCTCTTATGGACATCAGGACACTTATTATGGACATCAGGACAAAAAGCATGTCAGATGCCAGAGCTCACCACCAGGCCAAAGAGCTGGTGCCCAGCTGGCTGGCCAAGTGACGGCGTACACCCGACCGCTTTGGATAGCATTACCTCCCCGTGAAAAGGGAGACAAAAGCTAAACCAAAAGCACCAAACCCTAAATCCCTCTCGAGTAATTACTGCAAACTCATAATCCCTGGAATTATTCCGTTATCAGCCTGGGAGTCACTGGACTCAGACACCGTCAAGATTTAAGACAAGCAAGTCATTCACTGCGCTAGTGTTACCATGAGCAAATGCTCCTTGTACGCGGAGGGGCTGAGAACCGGGCGCTGAAAAACGCTGCTTATGGTAAATTACTGTCGTGGTCTCCCTCAGAGGACAAAGCAGGGAGGGAATGACAGACCTTGCCATGGCGGCAAATAGCCAGACAAGATTCTTTGTGTTTCTTATCAGCCGAGTGTCACCATATGCTAATTATTTCATTAAACCCAAGAAATCCATCCATTTCACTCCATTAATCTCGCTGAGGAGGAGAACAGGAGGGGGGCACGACAAAGGCGCCTAAAAAGAATGGGATGAGGAAGGAGAACTGGCATTTCTTAGCAATTTTCTAGTTTAAAAAAAATTAAATAGAAAGGCAAAAACATGTAAAAAGCAATTTTGTTTCGTTTGTGTTACACCCAGTTGGACTGTGAGACTCGCTGCCACCACGTGAGGACGAGAAGCTACCAAACCTCCGAACCAAGCGCTGGAAACTCATCATAATGAGAACGTTCGGTCAGAGGGGCAAGCAGGAAAAGTTCAGCAGCCTTGAAAAGGATGAAAAACTGTGAATGCCAGGCTTCAGCTCCAGAACTGAGACAGCACGGCCCTAAATCGTTATATTGCAGATGCACTGTAGGATTTCTTGCGCTTTTTAATCCGGGGTCGCTGTTATCAGCCATTATCAAGGACGTTACTGGCTAGGAAAGTACTGGCTTGATCCAGAACCTCTGTTACAAAACAAACCTC